TCAGAAGCCGAGCACAGGCGTTCTGAACCACCTGTAGACGGTTCAGGGAGGTTCTGCTCAGACACGTGAAAAGAGAGTTACAGTAGTCTAAGCGTGAGGAGATGAAGGTGTGGAGAACTGTCTCAAGTTCAGAGCAGGACAGAATGGGACTCAGCTTAGCAAAGTTCCTGAGATGGAAGAAGGAAGAGCGAACAAGAGAACTGACATGAGAATCCAGGGTGAGAGCTGGGTCAAAGGTCACGCCAAGATTCCTGACAGAAGGATTGGTGTGGGAAGCAAGCTGACCAAGAGAGTCTCTGACTTTGGGAACCAGCTTGTCTGGGGCACAGATGTGGATCTCAGTCTTATCTTCATTCAGCTGAAGAAAGCTCCCACCATCCAGGTTGTGATAGAGTCTAAGCAGGTGTGTAACAGCTGCAGCTTAGACATCTCATGGGGCTTAAAGGAGATGTACAGTTGGATATCATCTGCATAAAGATGTAGGAGATTCCTTTGAAGGAGCTCAGGATGTGCTGAAGAGGAAGCAGATAGAGGAGGAAGAGCAGAGGCCCCAGCACAGGACCTTGTGAGACACCATGGGGAAGGGAGGTGGTGGAGGACCTAAACTTGGAGACGGCCACAGAAAAGGAACGCTCAGAGAGATAAGAGGAGAACCACTCCAGAGCAGATCCTGATAGGCCTACCCAGTCTCTCAGCCTCTCCAGTAGCAGGTGATGGTCAACAGTGTCAAAGGCTGCAGTCAGGTCCAGCAGGACCAGAACAGAACAGTCCCCTGCATCACTGTGAGTCAGAAGGTCATTAGAGACCCTAAGAAGAGCTGTTTCAGTAGAATGAGCTCTACAACAACCTGACTGGAAGCTATCATAGATGTTATGTTCATCAAGAGCAGCTGTGAGGTGTTTAGCCACAACCTTTTCCAAGATCTTGGAGATGAACAGAAGTTTAGAGATGGGTCTGAAGCTGCTATGGAGAGAGGGGTCGAGACTCGGTTTTTTAAGAAGCGGGTGGATTACAGCGTTCTTAAAGTACGCAGGGACCTGACCAGAGACCAGAGAAGCATTAATTATAGAGAGCACGCTGGGACCGATGGACTGAGAAGCACTTTTAAACAAAGATGAGGGTAAGATGTGGAGGGGGCATGCAGAGGTCTTCATAGAGTTAACTAGTTTGGTTAACTCAGGCAAAGAAACAGGAGCAAAGCTATCTAGGATGATGGGCCTGGTTGGAGTCGGGAGAGGCGGCGATAAGGCTGAAGGAGAGATGCTAGATCTAACCTTATTGACTTTGTCCACAAAGAAAGACAGAAAGTTCTCACAGTCTGTAACAGAGTGGATGGAGGCTGTAGGAGAGGCAGGAGAGACGATGCTGCTGATGGTGTTAAACAGCACCTTGGGGTTCCGTTTGCTCTGGGACACCAGGTTGGAGAAATAGGAAACCCTGGCGTCTCTGACTGCAGAGTTAAAGGATGTCAGAAGGTCCTTTAGGTGCAGCAGATGGACGTGGAGATGGGTTTTCTTCCACAAGTGCTCAACTTTTCTGCATTGGCGCTTCAGGCTGCGAAGGCTGTCATTAAACCAGGGAGTAGGGTTCACTGCAGGAACTGATCTGGTTCTGACAGGACAGATGTTGTACAGAGTGGAGAGGCAGTGCTCGTTAAACTGAGAAGTTAAGGAATCTGGGTCGTTGTCAGAAGAACAGGGTGGATCAAAAGCAGCAGAAAAATTGCTAGCTGTGCTCTCACTGAAGGAAAGAACTGTTTGGACCAGGTGGACGATAAACCACAGCACAGTAGAACGGGTTCTTACGCCCGACTTTAATCAGCTGCAGTTCAAAGGAAGCAAAGTGACCAGAGGTTGTAGAGCTACATGGAAGATGGTCTCTGAAAACAACAGCTAGGCCTCCACCACGACCAGAACCCCGGGGCTGGCTAAGAAAAGAATAACCACTCGGGCAGAGTTCAATCAGAGCAGAATAATCAGATGTTTGCTGCCAAACTTCAGTCAGAAACAGAAAATCCAGGTTTTTAGAGAGAATTAGATCATTGAGCAGGAAGGACTTATTGTTAACAGAGCGGGAATTTAATAGAGCCATGCTGAGTGAGATGGAGGAATCAGAAACTACAGAAACAGCTGGAGTTAGAGGATGTAAATTAGCCCGGTTAGATCCACGGTGTTTATAAAAACCACTTATGGAGGGAACATTAGGAGAAACCACTGAGGAATGAGGATAAACCGACCTTAAAAAACTTGCACGGATGAACCGCGTCATAACGCTGCCTGGCGGGAATGCGGAAGTGGCGCTCAGGTCACCAAGCAAAGGAAGAGAAGCTAGAAGATCACGCCGATGTTCACCAGATAAACCACGCTTTAAGAAAAGTCGTATTCTCACCTGGATTCCTGTGTTGATTCATGAGGGATCATGAATCAACACAGGAATCAAGTGCTTACGGGAGACGTTCTCAAAATAAAAACGGAAGCTTCTCAGATTGGATTTCTTCACCAGATTATTTTGCACTCATGCTACAAGGCCCAGTAAGAGTCGTTATTGTAAAAGTCAGTTATTTGTTCATGCCTGGTAGAAGGGTGTCACCATGAAATGCAGATTTCACGGTGCAAATGCATCAACTCTATAGAGGATTAGGCTCATGTGGGTCGTACAGCGCAAAGTTTTTAAAGTTACAAAGATAGTATTCACTCACATCAACATGGAGGGAAAGGGCAGTGGTAGTTTCTGAGGTATTTTGGCCACTGCAGGCCCCCATACCTGTTACCTGGTTATGTAGGGGTCGATGCAGACCAAGAAAACACCAAATCACTAAAAACCCCAAAATATTTCAGAAGAAAACGTAACCACGCAGTCAGAGCTTGAAACGTTAACATTTCAAGGTTTTCAGCGAGTTTCCTCTAAAATGTTAAAATCTTAAACTTAGTTCTGTTCCCATTCTGTTTGTTTATGTTGCCGTGTTTTATGTGTAGATGATTGAAGCCATTAGTGTCATTATTGCTAGAATGAAGATTCAGCTGATGGCAATAAATAAGTCAGCGTGCAAAGTCCTGCTCCTCGTGAATCTTGCTGCAGCTGCAATGCATTTGCGGTAATTTTTGTAAAGTTTCAGTTTGTTTTGTGTCATTTTTAAACTATAAATACTAGAAGTGTAAACATGCAACTTTTATTATTATTATTATTTTTTTTTTTTACATTTACTGAATTTGTGTGCATGCACCAGGGTCAGATTTTCCACAAATACCAGAAGGCGTGCGCAGAGGGTTTAATGAATGCTGTCTCCATTCAGGTATGAGCACGGTTCCCGAGGTGGTGGTGGCTCGTCACTGCGGCCTGCGCGTCCTGGGTCTGTCCCTCGTCACCAACAAGGTGGTGATGGACTATGAGAGCAGCGACAGGGCGAACCACGAGGAGGTGCTGAAGACCACGCAGAACCGAGCCCAGGACCTCCAGAGGCTCGTCAGTCACCTCGTCGCCAAGTTCTAGCAACCTTCTCTGAGATGACTTAGAGGAAACGCAGACATGATTTCCAGATCAGTGTTGAGATCATCGCAGCTTTGAACAGAAGGTGATGGTCAGCGGTTTAAATTAGGGAGTTTCACTTGTTATCGAACTTTAAAAAGGTTAAAAGTGGGAAACGTATCTACAGAACTTTAGGTGAAAGTCCCTTTTAACATTTAAATAATTAGTTTGTCTTAAATCTTTTATTTTTTTAGTTTTTTTGCTAATTTAAAATAGTCTGAATCACTGGGAGAGCTAATGATACTAATGAATATATTCAGAATATATTCTTTAAGACTATTTAAAGCTGTTTTATTGATTTTCAAGGTGTTTTTTTTACATGTTGAGTAAAACGCATCGACAAAACGGGGCGTATTTCAAGGCGAGCATTTAATACACACAAGTTTAAACTTGCTTTATAACCAGAAAGATTTTAGTTCTAAACTTAATTTATTTGTGCTTCCAAAAATGAGCAAAGTTGTTGTTTTGCCTGCAAACAAAATATGTGAAAGAACAAGTGAAAGAGAGCAAAAAGAACCGTTGAGCCTAATTGTTCTTAAACCTGAAGGTTTCTTTGGACAAAATGAACAAAATCTCAGTTAAACACTTTCGTAAAACCCGATGTTGTGCTTTAAACGTCTTGTTTTCCTTTAGGACAGGTGGCGTTTCAAACTCCGCTGTGTCGTCTACATGAATCCATCGTTTAGAGTCAAATCTTCTTTGTTGCTTTGAAACATGAAGGTAAAATTATTTTTAAATGTGGAGTTAAAGGGGCCACACGAGAACAGGTCGCAGGTTTGAATCCTGCCTGCAGCTTTTCGGACACTTGCCCAGGGTGTGAGCAAACGCAGCTCAAAACATCAGTGGGTTGAAGTGAAAATAAATGTTAAACTCAATTTTTAGCTAGATTGCAGATTTAGACGGTCGGCGGGAAAAGCCTTTCAAAATAAAAGCAGGATAAAGAGATCATCCGTCTGTGGTGTCAGAGTTCATTTGATGGTTTATTTCCTGCGAGTGTGTTTGAACACGGCTCCTCAGTCAGTAGTTCATGAATCTAACCAATCTGCATCAAGAGGAACGCTTAGACCTATGGTAGGAGGTCTCTTTACCCCACTTTTATTTTGTGATAACTGTTTTCATTTAAAACATCACAAATATTTAAATGTCAAAACTTTAAAATAATATAATTTCTAAATGTTAAGATCAAAGTTTATATTTAGATTTGATTCTAGATTTTTATTTTGTCCTAAATCCATTTAGTGAAAAGTTATTTTAGACAAAATGCAGCAATTACCTTGACGGTAAGTAAAGTCATTCCTTGTGCTAACGGCTGCAATTTATGAAGAAAAAACAGAGATGATTATTATTAACAATGTAAAATAATAAATACAGCTTTATGTGCACTTGCATTCTTTAAAAATTTAAATATATTTTATTATAAGTGAATTACAAAATACGAGCATTTAAAGTGTGAAAAACCTAAAAAATAAAACACCTTCAATTTGATTCTCAGATTTTATTTGAACAAAGTTTTCAGGTAACGACCCAGAGGAGATCATCTAAATGAAATCATTTAAGTCGAGTTTAGTCCTGGTGCAGCTGCTGCATTCGCTTCGGTTTTCTCTGCACACGAAGACGCCGCCACCGTGTAACAACAGAGAGGAGTTAGAATACCTGGATCTGCACTTTCCAATCTGCTCTGCACCGGTTGGGAACCGCTTGCCAGCTTTCCTTGACTGTCTTAATTCATTAGACTTGGAAAGGCCAGAAAAATCCAGGATCAGCAGTCAACCTCTTAGAGCGCCGGTATCAGGCAGGGCATCGTGGTGCTAATGGAAATCTAGAGAGGAAAAGAAAGCGTGGAGACATTTCCCCCTGAAGGGTTTCTTTTTGCACATGCATTTAATCTTCAGAAGGGCTGAAAGTAACCACTACCGGCGCTATTGTCCTAAAAACCAACAGATTTGCTTTTTATTCCTCGTGTTTTTGATGTTTATCACCGGTTAGCATGTCTGGATTCATCGTATGGATTTTATATCGGTTAAAACGGAGTTACACAACAAAGCTTCACTGTTGTTGCTGTCAAATAAAATCCTTTTTAGATGACATCTGGCCATTTTCTGTCTGGGATTATCGAGTGTGTGCGTGCGTGTGTGCATGCGTGCGTGTGTGTGTACAAAATCAGTCAATAACAACTTGTGTTCAAGGAGAAAAGGAGTTTCTTCCCCTTTCCAGCAATAATGAGGACCAGTGAACAAGGAGATAAGAGCAAACAGCCTTAGACCAACAACACACACACACACACACCTCATCAACACACTCCTTCGCAACACACTTCAAGCTGATGGAGCCACTGTGAGACTGAGATGAAGTGGAAATGGCCGTTTCCGCGTCGTTCACCATTATCTTACATAATTCATCCCCGTGTAGAGGTGCAGCCTACTGTGGAGCTAAAATATTAATACGAGTGGAGCAGGCAGCCCCGAAGACACAAACACAACATCCACATTTGTCTGGGTTGTATTTACACACGATCACAAAGAGGTCCATACATCTCAAAGTGAGACAAATACAAAGATGAAGGATGCAGATAACAGATGTTCTGCTTTGGATGACAGGAAGTGGGGAGCCGGACTTATGATCAGTCACTATTTACCTGCAGTGGGGAGCAGAACAGTCTCGGGTTACGCAATCTGGAAGGAATAATCAGTGAGATTTGGGATTATTTCTTTACTGTATCAATGAGTGTTGATGATAAATCTTGGAAACCCCGATTAGTCACCTTTCCTAAACAGTTTGGGCACGATGCCATGTGTGCTAGAGCCAGAGAAACCAACTATCCTGCAGGTTTCCGATGTTTCCTGCTCCAGCTCACCTGAAACTAATGATTCAGTCCCCTCCTCACCACATCCAGTTCTGCAGAAGCCTCCTTCGTTTAAATCAGGTGATGGAGATGGAAGCCCTGAAGGAATGGAGCTGCTGATCCCTGTGCTGCAGCAGCCAACACCCCTTCACTGGTTGACCTTAAGGAGCTGCTGGTTGAGACCAGAGGAAGAGGAGGAGCCAAGCGTGCTTCCGAGGATCCTGACTGTTATGTTGATTTTGTTTATTTATTTGGCAGACGCTTTATCCAAAGCGACTTACAATTTATAATAACCCGTAGGGCGTGTTGTGATCTGTGGGGGAAACCGGAGTACCCGGAGGAAACCCACGCACGCATGAGGAGAACACGCACTTCCACGCAGAAAGGCTGCAGTCGAGTTTCGAACCTGCAACCTTCATGCTGCGAGGCAACAGTGCTAACCACTGCGCCACCATGCAGCATACTGTTAAAAGTAATCAGGTTTAAAAGTTGGCAATGCGTTTTTATTTTTCCTGATTTGTGCATTAAACTCAGAACAAAACACGTAGTAAATAATAATAATAATAGATGAATAAAAGTTTAATTTTCTCAAACTTGTGTCAGGTATGTGGGACGGGGTGCGAGTCCTTTTTCCTGAATGCTTCCTGCTGTCATGGTGAACTGCTTGCCTGTAATAATAATAATTCTTCTTCTTCTTCTTCTTCTAGTTTAATGGCGGGTGGCATCTAGAAGAAAAACAAATAAATAAAACTAAATTCTATTCAACAGATCACAGTGCTTTAGATACCCAACAACCAACTTATTATTCCTTTCATCACCATTCCTTGCCTGTAACTGTTTTCCTGCTGAGTATTGTTCACAGGTGGGCGTGTCTGAGAGCCACCAGCTGCAGCTGATTCCATCATCAAGACCCGGGGGATTTAAGGAGCAGTGTGACACTTCACCACGCCGGATGATTACTCTGTTTGGGTAGCTCTAGCCGCTAATCTGTCTCGTCTCTGTATCTTGTTCCAGTTAACCTGCTGCCTGAAATTCCTGAAATTCCTTCCCTGCTCTCCTTCAGGTTTCTCTCCACATTCCATCATCTCCAGAACCAACCCGGACTTCTGCATTCCAGACCACACTGCCTCCTCCCCTGGCCGCCCGCTCTCAGCCGCTCACCTGCCCTCATCAACCTCCACTCCTACATCTCTGGATAAATCAGTTCTCTCACCTTCTGGATCTCCGCTGCTCACCTGGACCTGACCAAAACCCTCCCCGTACATTCCACCGCTACCAAGAAACCGTAAGCTCAGCCTCAAGATCAAATCTCCATCATTCCACCGGATATTCACTCGGTCTCCCTCCTCTGAACCTCCTCCTGGAATCCTGCTGCCAGTACTGAATATCTTCGGTTCCTGTCTCTCCTTTAGCTCCTCATTTAAATTTAAAAATAAACCTTTTTACACACTTACCCATTTCTGTGAAGTGATTCTGCATGTCGTGGGTCAAGAAATTGCCACCCAGCATGACACCTGCTCCGTGTGATTGACCCCAAGTCTCCTGATTCTCTAAACTAGATGACCCAGCTGTTAATTTTGCTGCTTTTTTCTTAGCTGAAAAGGAAAATGTGTGTGATTGTGACAACTGTGCGCACTTTTAAATAATTGAGTCTCCCTCTTGAACGATTCCTGTCTAAATCCACTGAGATGTCCTCATGATTCCCTAGTTTGACATCTGTCCATCTACTCAGATCCATTCCACCTCAAATTTAAAAACTGAGGCCAGATGAGGTGTTTTAGTCCCAGCAGGGCGGCGACAGCCTCATCTGTAATCTAATGCTGGTGTGTTGTCAGCAGGCCAAGTGAGCCTATAGAGGACCTGATATTGATCATCTGCAGAGCTTGAGCACGGCCTTGTCCTTCAACTCGTACAAACTCTGATGTTCAGGTGTGTCGTGTACCTGAGATCAGGCTCCAGCAGAGCTGCTGACTCAGCCTCCAGAACCAGTCAGCTGCCAGCAGCTTGTCAGCACAGGGAGGGGCAGGGCTTGAAATTACTGCCCCACCTCCATGGAGGAGTGACCGGTCAAGTTCACCTGTGCATCACATGGAACAATGGCGCCTAATTGTTTTCCTCTGGATCATTTAAATGACTTCCCAACAGCTTCTGCCGGGATGTAAATTTTAATTCATCCCATCAAAACCCGAGAACATAAAGATGGTGCATTCGTGTTTTTATGAGCGAATCAGTCAGAGAAACTTTGCAAAAGCAAAACACCTCAGAAAAAATTAATTATGCACTTTTTTATTAGAATCTACAGATTTATTTACCAAGAACTCTTTAGATTTTTGTAATGATTATAAATTACATGTTATTTAATAAGCCATAAGGATTCCATAGGAAATATGAAATCCACCTTACGGATCTGTGAGGTTATTTAAACCAGAAGATTGGATCTTTTTATTGCAGGGATTAGATAACAGCTTCATATTCACTCAGAGACAACAGAGAGAGAGAGTCATGTTTAAAAGTTTAAAAGTTAAGAATTTTATTACTAACAGATTAAACTAGACTGACTTTAAACACTAAATGTATGGTGTAACTAAGGTGGATGAGACGGTGAATGGATGACGTGTGATGCTGATCAGAACCAGCAAATCCGAAGCTGCGATTCGTTCTGATGGGAACTGAAGGTGATGTCTTCGCGTTAAGCTTTGGTTAGGAGGTTCATTAACACATTCGACGCCATTTATCGGTCTACGTACCCTTCAGGAAGTCCCCTTTAGATCAGGAATGTCCGTTAGAGATGACGTGGGCATAGTTTTATACTTTGGATGTTTTGGTTTATGGTCGAATGAAAAGTTGACAGGTTTTACCAAACACCATCAAAACCACGCCTCCGTCAGATCTGTCAGATTCTGATTGGATCAGTGAAAGGAATGTGTCATGTCTTTTAACGCTACATGAGATCAGTCCTGTTGGAACACTTAAAGTTACCTTTATGTTCTATAGGATCATAATAAAGTAATTAATATTTTGATTTCACAGGTCGGTCACATCTTATTTGTTGACTAACACTTGGTCAGATTAGCTTTATTAAAGTAGAGTTCTTTGATTAATTAAAAGAAAAGCGTTCATTCTTTTGTTGAGCTGAAAAGAAGCAGGTTAGAAACAAACGCATGAGACCTTGAGACCATATCTCATGCAGACTAGTTCTGTGCAGAGGAGGGGGAAAACAGTCATTTCATTCCGTTACATTTTTCTAATTAAAACAGAAAACAGAAGAGTGACGAACGTTATAATAAATCACCAGAACGCATCATTGTTCTGGATGTTGGACACAAAAACCCACTTCTCTGTGTTCCCTTTACCGGCGCAGAAATCACATCTTAACAAGGAAACATAACATTTTGTCATAATAAATACTTCAGGTTTGGATCATCTGTGGTGGATGTTCTTACGCTCCAGCTGCATTTTCCAGTTCGATTCGACAAAAGCAATTTTGTATTGTAAGTAAAATGAAGATGTGGACAAAGGCCAGTGGAGAGAGTTTCTGCTTCAAGCGGAGGAGTTACCTTGGTGTGTTGTTCTTGAATGATGAAGGATGGAGGAGAGATGGAGCAACAGATTTTTCTGGAAGCTGCAACGCTTCAGGAAAGCTCAGGTTTAGCTGCTGCTGCTCCTATCCCCTCTGGTCCAGCGAGGGCTTGATACCCATCAGGAGGAGATGATGGGTCCTGCTCAGGAGGTGGATTTCTGAGCTTCTCCTGTGGATCTGTCCCCTTTAAGACTCCTCTGGATGGATGGACAGACTCAGCATTGGCAAAAATAAGCAATTTCTATGCATAATTATATTTGATATTTTGCAACATTCACTTTAACATATTTAAGTTAGTCTCGCACAATAAAACAGTCCAGTGTCTCCAAGCTGATACTCAGCTGAAGTGACTTTTTGGTCAGTGTGCAGATCCTCCAGGTGAATTTCAACTCGGAGAATGGAAAAGAAGGGCTCTGTGCACATTTATTATACAGTTTAATTAAAAATATTAACATGTTTTTTTTCCTCAGATGGTCAAATATGAACCTGTCCCATGTGGTGATTTTGACCAGTTTCCTGCAGCCGCCACAACTCGACACATCGCTCCGATTGGGTTTGAGTGAGCAGGAGTCAAAGATGAAAACAGTAGATAACAAAGAAGTACAAATAAAAATAAACCAGTAAAGAAGCAGTCAGCAGCGGAGTTCCTCTGGATGTTTAGCATACGTGTTTAAGCTCCTTCTCGGAGTGTTCTCTCCCAGCTGACCACCTCTTCATTCTGACTCGGTGTGTCAGAAAAGCAGAAAGTAAATATTAAATGACTGATTAGTAACATCTGTCAAACGGCTCCACTTTGGTGCAGCTTTTTATTGTGCCTTATGGACCAGAAACAACAAAACCGTTCATTCGGAAGGAAATACGTTGTGGAATAATAAAGACTTTAAACACGGAGAGCAGCGTTTCTAACAGCTCTCGTCTAACATCAAGGAGACGCTTTGAGGGATACTTCCTTCCTGCTCATTACAGAATGACTACTTCATCTTGGACGTTATCACCTCTCGCCGTAAATGACTTTAAAACATTCATATGAGCAGGAATCCGTGTGTTTTTCTGCTCCTCTGCTAAGCAGACTGCCATCAATGAAAAATCCACGATCTCTCTTTTTTATTTCATAATTTTCATTTGTTATGTGGGCTAATCACTGCTGGCTGGAGGCTGTGTGGGAAATGTGATTAGTGTGTGAGTGTGAGTGTGTGTGTGAGAGCTCTAATTAACTCTGAGAAGGCTCACACACACACACACACACACACACACACACACACACACAGGGAGACATGCTCGGGGAGCTGCACGCTTAGATACACACACAGATGTATAGGAATAGGGGAGGAGCGTATTCTCTCTCATGCACACACACACACACACACACACACACAGGGAGACATGCTCGGGGAGCTGCACGCTTAGATACACACACAGATGTATAGGAATAGGGGAGGAGCGTATTCTCTCTCATGCACACACACACACACACACACACACACACACACACACACACACACACACACACACACACACACACACGTGCATCAGATCAAAGGGCGTGCACAAGGGAGCTGCAGCAAGGAAGACTGATGCAACAAGAGAACAGTTGATCCATCTGCGTCTTTCCAGCACACACGTCCACTGCAGCACCCAACACGTCCCATCACACATGAAGCCTGGCAGCACGCGCAATCGCGCGCACTGACGCGCGGAGGGATGCTGACTCAGATGGATGCTGTCCGCGCGCCCCCAGCGGCGGCGCAGAGGCGCTTCCGCTCCCGCGGCCGCGTTAAAAGCGGCGCGCGGCGCGCCGGGGCCACAGTGTGGGCTCGTTTCAGTCAGAGGGAGACACTGAAAAAGTTAGCAGCGGATTTTCTCCCCCAGCAGCTCCTTCCTCAACACCACCATGGCTAACAAAGCCCAGCAGCCTCCTCACCTGCACTTGGCCGAGGTCACCGCGTCCCAGTTCCTCGACATCTGGAAACATTTCGATGTGGACGGTAGGAGTTTCCTGCTCCCTCCTAAAAGTTCATTTAAAGTCTACATTTTAAGATATGTTGCTTTATTTCGGACAGAAAATTAGAAATTAAGCAGAACAAATGAAAAGTGGTGGAAATAACTAGAAATGTGACGGAACGTGTTTAAAGCATCACGTGATTTAAACAGATCTAATTTTTTTTTACCGTTTTATAAATTCTGAAAATAAGAATGTGTCATGTTTCTTACGCGACCCTGGTCAGAAGCTGCCTCCTCGGAGCTTTTCGTCGTCGTCATCATCATCATCATCATCATCATCATCATCATCATCATCATCATCGGGTTTCCTGCCAGAATTATAAGCGCAACAAGAATATTTCAGAATAAAGTCTCATTCTGACTTTTGAATTGTTTAGTCATGTAAGAATTTTATTTTTACATCAGTTAATTGTAAATAATCTAGAAATTTTAACACTATTGTTTCTTGTGCAAGATGTGTTTGTGCAAACGATCATTTAAACGGAGTTTAACGGTAATTCGGTTGTTTATTCACTGTGAACGTCATGATTTGCGCAAAGGGTGCGCAAAGTGCGCGTAAATGGAGACCCCCGGTTGAGCACTAAGTTGTCTTTAAAGCAGCTGAAACTCACGCGTGAATTAAATTATTTTTTGCTTTTTTTATTTTGCACGTAGAAGTTTTTGAACCTTTTTATGCAGAACAGATTGATGGACGTTTTCGTGGATTCATGTGACGTGACGCGTTCAAACGGAGAATTGGTCCATCACCTTGAGCTCATGAACACAAATCCGTCCCTGGTGGTTCCCGCTCCTTCAGCAGCTCAGTGTGCAGAGGTGTCCGTGCGCGTGAGGATGAGTTCCTGCACGCAGTCGCAGCCTGATGATGCTTTTAAACAGAGGAAATCACAGAAAATCTTTTGGTGCTCCAGATCTATTTAATTTATCTGGATAAAAAACATGTTGCATCTTTTAGTTCTGCTGGCAATTATTTGTCTGCAGGATCTGTTTTGATGTCTGCAGCTGAAGGATTTTCCTCTGGGAAGTCAAGGTGGGATGAGGGGTGGGGCAGAGGTGCTGAGCAGCTGAGCCCCGCCACCCACCCACCTTCATGCAGGAGTAAACGTATTTGGTTGAACTCCTTGAGCCGGGTGGAGTGGACTTTCTCCACCAGGTGCTTTAGTTCTCGGTGGAGCTGTTTTGCATATTTTGCTTTGCAATTATCTTCTTTGCAAACCAAATACTCCGAATGAGCTCCCACAGATTTGGCTGCGGTGTTTGATTTCTGCTCTCATTACTGGCTCGGCAGATAGATAGGAGTGCTAATTTGTTTGTTCAGACTGAGTAAACATCTGAGGTGGCAGATAAAAATACACAGGAGACGAAGCACCGATGGAACCACATATTCCCTGGCTGGCTCGGGATCAAATCTCAGCTGGATTGCGTCGCTTTGCAGCTTCTGAGCGCCACCCCTCTCTCATCCCCCTCTGCTGCCTCCATCAGGCCTTTTCAGCTCCGCTCCTTTAAAGCAGAAGAAAGAATCTACTACAGTTCTCGTTGCTAAATTTAGAACATTTGCTGTCAATTATTTTTCTGCAGCCTGTAAATGTAAATGTGGATGGAGCCTAAGCTATCTCCTGCACTTTCCCATCTGAGATCTTGGACGGAATATTTGAATGGGCTGGGCCGCCGGTTCTTTTGAAAGGCAAATGTGATTTTTAAATGCTGTAAATCTGCACTTAGCTACCCATTTTAACTTTAGGAGTTTACGGTGTTCACAGCTGAATGTTAGCCTAAAAAGAAGAAACAAAGCCTCTTTAGAGTCTCCAGAGTCGGGAATGACGCAGAGCCACCGAAAGTGGTTCGGTGCCATAAGAGGCTGTGCAGAAAGACCACAGTGCATCATGTAAAGTTTGCAACAGGATTTTTATATTGGTGCTAAAAACTCATTTATTTTAAGATAGAACATTAAGGCCTGGTTCTGATTGGATGCATGCATTTAGAAATGACAGCTCAGGATGCACGAGTCGGCTAATTGAGGTAAAATTCTTGTCATGATGAAATTCTCTTGGAACAGAGAGTCTTTTGAAGGCTCCAGGTTCTTTGTAGAAATGTAACGGTGAGATGAAGCCATCAGTTCCTGCTCTGAGCTGGAGCCGCTCTGAATAATCCTCCAACAAATCGGGTTGTTGGACGTTATTCTTCATTTCACACGCCCCTCCATCTAATCATCAAGCAGGAATTTTATCTGCCAGAATGCCAAAGGTCAGTGAGACCCCCAGGACGGGCAATGGATCACAGATTTTGTTCATGAGGTTTAAAACATCACAAAAGACGCAAACACGCTTTCATGCCAAGGAGGCGAAGATGTTGGGATGGAGAAAAGCAGACGTGTAAAAGCCAGAGAAGCTGGAGAGTTAAAGGGAGAAGATGGCAGAATAATCTTCGTTAGAGTTTAATGAGGCAGCGCTGCCTTCCAGGGTTTACTGAAGCAGCTAGTCCCGTCGTTTGGAGCCATCTGTCCAGTCATTCAGCTTTGCTCTTAATGGAAGATTGGCAGCGGTTCACATAATACCTGGGTGAGGCGAGCCGGCGGATCGGTCCCCCGAATGGGTGACAACCATCCAGAATGAAACAAGACGAAGGCAGGAAGAGGGGAAAAATCAGCTTTGAGGCCAAACATGATGACTTTCTGTGATGTAATCCAGAAAATACAGCATTCAGTTTTATATCTGAAAAGTGCATGATGGCGCAGTGGTTAGCACTCTTGCCACGCAGCACGAAGGTTGCAGGTTCGAAACTCGGCTGCGGCCTTTCTGCGTGGAGTTGCGTGTTCTCGCCATGCATGCGTGGGTTTCCTCCGGGTTCTCCGGTTTCCCCCACAGATCACAACACGCCCTATAGGTTATAAATTGTAAGTCGCTTTGGATAAAAGCGTCTGCTAAATAAATAAACATAAACATAAACATGAAAAGTGCCTTGGCAAAACTGAGGAGGTCTTCATTCTTCTGACGAACATCCTCTGAACTTATCTTGATTTACTAAACTCTGAATGAACTTTTCATTTCTGGTGTTTAGAAAATCTGTTTTCTACAATCCTGCAGATTTTAGGAGTTATTTAAAACAAATGGATCAGTTAAATCACATCTACACGTGTCTACGCAGAGTTAACTAATAATAACAAAACAAATCCCTTAAAAGTGATTAAATAGATTTTAAAATAGTCCTCCTGCCTCTCAGGTAACGGGTTCATTGAGGGAAAGGAGCTGGAGAACTTCTTCAGGGAGCTGGAGGTCGCCCGGAGAGGAGCAGGAGTGGTGAGTTCAGGGACACGCCGTTAATCGCAGCTCTGTACCGACCACTCAGGTTTCACCTACCAGAATAAATGTTTCCTAGGACCCGACAAATCCAGCCTTCAGAGAAAGGATGAAGGAGTTCATGCAGAAGTTTGACAAGAACAAAGATGGCCGCATTGAGATGTCGGAGGTGAGTCTACGAAGAAGGAGAAATCTTTCTGTTGACAGGCTCATCAAACCGTGTTTATTGGCCCTGCCCACAGAACATTTGAGAGAAAAACTTTTATTTTTGTGAGAAAATGTTTTAAATCACAAATTTTGAGGTTTGTTTTACAGAATCCAAACTGGTAGACTCTAGATTTAGATGTTTTGGGGCATCAGAGGGAGATTATGTTGTTTTTAGAGAAGGATTTGAGAGAGAAAGAGACTTATCTAAATAATTATTTTACTGTCTATATCATTTTATTTATTACTTATTTTCTAATTTTTGTCATTTATATTAGCTCTTTTATTACATTTTTACTCATTTTAATCCAGTGTTTCCTCTGTGGGGGCCCTCTGCCCCGGGAGCGGTGGTCGACTGTAGCTTCCTGGGCGCTCTACAGGTAGTGTTAAGTGGAGGTGGGGGTCTATGCTCCCCCTCCACTGAGCGCCCTGACTTAGTGTGGAAGACCTGATGCTGCCGGGGCAGACGGCTCCTCTGATGGCGTTTCCTTGCGTTACCATACTTGGCTCATCTGGACTCAGCCTAATATAATTTTTACTTGTGTATGTGTGTGAGTCTGTATGTGTGTGTGTGCTTGCATATGTTTGTAAATGTTTTTAACCTGTTATGGGAATCTGGGGTCATTTTGTAAAGCACTTTGAATCACACTTTGTTTGAAAAGCGCTTTAGAAATAAAATTTGATTGATTGATTGACTTTGTCCAGCACCAATAATCCCTCGCTCACCTGGAAAATGATCTCAGGGTTTGTTAGACAGAGTAAATATCCACAGCCAAGCCAGTTTTCTGAATGTTCCGATGCTTGATGTTTTATAAATATTCCAAACTAAGGCCTGCCCCACCTTTTCAGGTTACGGCTCTTTATTATTTATGTCTTAGCAGACAAAAAGTCTCCCTTCTTCTCACTCTCTTCCCTCCCTGTCCACCATCTTGCTCTCACCACTTCCATTTCCCGGTCATTTGTCCCCAGCTGGCCCAGATTCTCCCGACTGAAGAGAACTTCCTGCTCTGCTTCAGACAGTTTGTCAGCTCCAGCGCGGAGTTCATGGCGGTAAGTGAGCTTTTCTGAGATCTCCTGGACAGCTGACAGGGTTTCTTTTAACACTAAACACCTGGTGCCCCTCTGAACCTTTCCTTTTCCTTTTGTTCGGTAGAAATAGTCGTTACTCAGAACAATCTTACTTCAGCTCCTCATGTAGGACCAGTCAGCTGTGGGCAGCCTGCACGCTCTCGCTCGCATCCACCTGCTCATCTCAGAGAAGAGCTCCCTCTGGGTGGCTGAAGGTGTTCCAATTAGTGACATGAAGTGGAGTAGTCAGAAATAAAGGCCGCTGCCCTCAGCTGCACATGTCTGCTGCTGGAGCTGCTTGTTACTGCTAATTATGTAAGCTGCAAAAATCAGGTGCGCTCAGATCCATCATGAATAATAACTGGATGAGAATAGAATAAACTTCATTAATCCACAGTGGGGGGGAATTCACTTGCTACAGCAGCATATGCACTTAGAGAAAAGAGGAAGAAGAAGAATATTAAAGGCAGTAAACTTTCAACCATGAAAAACAACGATTAAAAGGAAACTTGGGTTTCCAGAACTCTGCAAGCACAGACGAACTATGTAAATCTGGTGTTGCACAAGTACTGAACACATACAGAGTATTGTATAGATGATAACGAGTACCAGGATAATGCCAGTACCAGTTAAACTGAGGAGTTCTACACTCTCACTGCAGAGGGGGCGAATGACCGACGGTAGCGTTCTGTTAAACATCCGGGATGTCTCAGGCTTGGTTTATGCTTGACGCATTAACTTTCCGCTTGGTGATGCGGCTCGCGGATGGAACCCGCTTCACAACTCGCCGCGTTTATGGTTCATGCGGCTCGTCTCTGCGGTGAGCCAATATTCTCCCAAACTGTAGGGGGCAGCATGGAGCTCTACGGCATGCATCCAACACTACACCATAGTAGAAGTCAAAATTACTGTTTACAACATGACATTCCAGCATTTTTAACAGCGTCCTCGTCTTTTCCGACAGTGTGAGCCATTTCTCTCCAAGAATTATTAACAACATGTTGATCACGGTGATCTCCGAGAGCTGAATCATACAAATGTCTGTATTTACGAACCTCTGCCATACTAGTTCTTGCCAGTCCGCCATGTTTTTTCGCGTCCGACCGTCCGCGTGGTTAGAAAATTTCATAGGTGTGCGGTGTGGAAATTTTGGGCCGTGCGGAGGCGCGGTGGAGGGGCGTGGTTGTTAAAATGACGCAACTTTGCCGTGCGGACCTCGCGGACGCGTCAAGCATTAACCAACCTGCAGTCTGCCTCTGAAGGAGCTGTCCATGGTCTCCACAGTGGAATGCAGTGGGTGGGAGGGGTTTTCCAAGATGGGGGTCCTCTTCGCCACCTGTGAGAATCAACAGAAAATAAATATGTTGGGTAACTAAAAAAAGTGTTTTATCTCGTGCGCTGCAGGGTCTGAGAGACTTTTAAGAAACTTCATAACATTCGTGAAGCAAAATTTAAAAAAAAAAACTCACAGAATCATCCTGGACCTGGTCTGGGTGGGCTTCCTGAGTCCAGAAGTCCAGGAAAACCTTTCGCAGGTTGTGTCTGAAATCCGATAAGAGTAAAAGTGTCATAATTCTGTTATTCAAGACTGAACATTCGTGTATTTTCTTACAATTTTGTGACTCCAACCAGTCAGGAACCTGAACCATTGACGAGTCTGCGTTCTTCTTTAGCTGTTAGAAACTCACTAAGGCATCATCATGTTTCTTTTTTGGAGCCAGTCTGAGCTTTAAACTCCGAGTGATGGTTCAAACATAAAGCAACAAGGTTATGAATCTGAATCAACCAGAGAAAACATCTGGAAAAAACACCCGAGGTGTATTTTTATATTTAAGGATAAAAAAACTAAAATTTTCACATTTCTTCCTAGATATTTATTAGAACCAGTGTTGGATCCAGACTCTGTGGACGGTTCTTTGTTCTGGTTTCATGTTTAGGTTCTGGTGGTTAGTAAACATTTAGAGATGATGTCACCAACAGCCTCAACTCAATGAGATGCTTTCCTAACGTGCACTACGCGTGTCAAAGCTCTGTTACTTTAGCACAATCTAGATTATTTCATAAAAATCGCTTTGTGCATCTTTGGAATATTTGCTCCTGTTTCAAAGTTCCTCTGGAGCGTGAGATCGACAGGTGGATTGGGACTGCGTCTGCAGTGATGCGGGCGTTGCACCGGTCTGTCAGAGAAAGCTGAGCTGGAAGGAAAATCTCTCGATTTACCAGTCGATGTACATTTCTACCCACACCTATGGTCACGAGCTTTGGGTAGAGACCGAGAAAACAAGGTTGCGGATACAAGCGGGCGAAATCCGCTGCTCCTCCGCATCGAGACGAGCCAGTTGAGGTGGCTCGAGCTTCTAGTTAGGATGCCTCCCGGGTGAGGTTTTCTGGGCACGTCCAACCAGGGGGGATGGCCTAAAGGAAGACCCAGGACACGCTGGAGGGACCATCAATCAAAACTTCATTTATATATAGCGCCTTTCTAGAGATGATAACGAGTCTTCCTGATTGTTCTAGCACCTTGGGCGCCCGAATAGGGCGCCCAAGGTGCTAGAACAATCAGGAAGACATACAATCATAAAAAGAGAAGAAAAAACACAGGGCTAAAAGTAAGAACTAAAACAGTAAGTCAAAAACAAATTCAAAAGAAATAAAACACAACTTCAAGTATGTTCTGGAAAAGCTAAGTGGAAAAAAAACAAGTTTTCCATCAACTCTTGAAGACTGGCAAAGAGGTAGACTGCCTAACTTCAGATGGCAACTGGTTTCACAGTGATGGAGCAAGAACTGAGAAAGCTCGATCCCCACGAGTTCGACACTTAGCACGATGGACACAAAGGAGGCTCTGCTCAGAAGAGCGCAGAGGGCGAATATGTCTTCAGGAGCGCCGCTAGATGGGGGGAAGGGGGGCACATCTCTGAAAGAAGTTAAAAACATAAACCAATCATTTAAAATGCGTTTGATAAAAAATAGGAAGCCAGTGAAGGGAGGCCAGAACAGGAGTGATATGATCCCACTTACGGGCCTCTGTCTGAAACCTGGCAGCACAGTTCTGTGCAAACCGAAGACGATGCAATGATGACTGACCAAGGCCAACATGGAGAGAGTTGCAGTAATCTAATCTAGAGACTACAAATGCATGGAGTACCCGCTCCAGGTGGGATCGCGACAAGACGTCGCCGATGAAAATAACAGGATCTGGTCACGGAAATAAGTCCCGAATCAGTTCTCACCCCCCGACTTCTGACAACTGGTTTTTCAAAGGGAGAGAGATAGCCCAGATCAAATCCAGGTCCTATAGACTGCTTACTATGTGTGGACTGGTGGCTGTGCTTCTTGCCTGGCCAGGGAACATCTTAGGATTCCCCCGGAGGAGCTGGCCCAAGCGGCTGAGGACAGGGAAGTCTGTGCTGACTAGTAGAATTAGGAAATATAGTCGTCTCTTTATGGAAATGACCAGTTTGTTTGTTCTTCTGTCCATAAAGATCAAACTTTAAACAAGTTAGTTTACATTTAAATCGGTCTGAAATGTTTTAGACAAAAAGGAGGCAAAGAGACCAACGACGAAGAAACCGTTTTTATGAAAGTTTGATTGCTGCTGTAAATTTTGAATGTCAAATTACCAAGAGAGCGGCAAAAAGACCTTCCAAGGAGGTCGCTGAAAACAGGAATCATTTATTCCACCAAGCGCAGAAAGTAGGAGAAAATGGCCGGTTTCTTGTTAAATGTGAGGCACTGAAAGAACGGTGGCAATTAGAAACCAATTACATGTGTGGGTCCTTGTCTGCTGGGTCATATTGAGAGGGAATAATGAAATAAGGAGGAAATGAATAAGAGGGAAGGTGAGGAGATGGAGAGGAACACAAAGGGCAAGTGAGAGAAAAGCCGTAAATGAAATGTCGATGAGAAGTTGAGGGTCAGAGTTTGAGGATCGCAGGAGAGCGAGAGAGGGATTAATGAATCTGTGGAAGAGAACAGGAAGTGGGCAGAAGAGCTTTAAAGGGTTAGAATGAGGGAGCAGAACTTCTATTTTCAGAGTCATATATAATGGATAACTCCAGTGTAGCTCCTCTGTGCAGAGCCCAGAGGAGGAGCAGAGGAGGAGGAGGAGAAGCCATCCATCTTTGATAAGGAGCCCTTCTTTGGGCAGGGACAGCTGCTAGATTAAAACATCCATTAAAATGACTACCCCCTCCTCCTGTTCCTCCCTTTCTCATCGCCCGCCGCGTGGGCGAATGGGTCGGTATTGAAAACGGTGCAATTACAGCGATGGTCCGAGCCTTTCATGTCGTCCCCTCTGAAACGATTGCCGCTCCACGCCAGACAAAAGTTCCACCCTTGCTGGGGTCAATCAGAGAGAGGTTATTCCAGAGGAAGGAGTGGAAATCACTGTGGGAAAGAGTTCCTGAGTGATTCATGGATCGATGCTGGAGAGAAATACTTTCAACTGAAAATCTGTTTTGGTTTTTCATTTCCCTCAGGCGTGGCGGCGATACGATACGGATCGCAGCGGCTACATCGAAGCAAACGAACTCCAGGTAAATAAAAACGACTGGAGATCAAATTAAAATCCCACTCAGATTATTTCATTATTCACCTGCTTAAACGGTCACACTCACTTTATTTTTCTTCTTTTTTTCACCACTTCTCTCACATGAGCAGACACCATCAACACAGCAGTAAACTGGTTTAGACTTCCCCACACCGGTCATCTTTGCAGATCATTTTTTAATTTCAACACATTTTATTTGTATTTAGCTGTTTTGTGTGTGTGTGTGCACATCTGTACGTTTGTGTTGCACTTCAGTTTGCATGTTACCTTGGGGAAATAAACAAAACCTTGGTCAATAAAATCAAGACAGGAAGCAAAAACGAAAAATCTTCAAGTTTTTGTGTCATAATGAGTTGATTTCCTTTCTTACTGTAACATAATGGTTGATAATGAGATATCTGATCAAATGTGTCAGATTTCCTACAAAAAGCTCGGTGAGAAGATGCATGTTTTATTTTTATGAATAATAAAATCAGATTTCTGGCACTATAGGAGTACAGACGCTTCCCTCTTTCGCTCCCTTATCTTTTTTTCCCAAGACTCTTTGTCCTGTCTGCCCACAGAGTGCTTATCTGCATTTATTCTGAAAAACTCTTTTTTTTTTTACTAACCATGGATTTGATAAACTGGTCATTCAATGCGATCGATGAGATTTTTTCAACAATGAGAACGGAGCGGGGGGCTCCCACATGTCCACAGGGGGCACACCCAGCGGGATATATGTTGGATTCTTGGAAGGAGTGGAAGATCGTATGCCTCTCCCAGCTGTCCATTGAGGACATCGAAGACGTGTTGATATCTGGTCTGATGATCACTGGATTTCTCCTGATTGGAGTGGGAGGATATCTGGTTTTCTGGAAATTTGGGAAGACTGGAGCGATTGGAGGGCGACCCGCACCCACGGAAAGCACCGTCCGTGTGGAGACTTCTGAGACTGGGACGTTACTCGAGGTGAATCGTAAGGTGGACAATGTTCTAGCTGCGATACCAGTATTAGTGCGCAAAAGGGACGTCATCTCGGAGAGAGTCACCGGACGGTATGGACAGGTTTAAAAACCCAAAATTGGCTTCACTGAAGGACTGGAATGATCAGTTTAAAGACTGAAGGCAGAGAGGAAAATTATCTCAGCCTGACCCAAACAAATTCTTGTTATCTGAATCTGATGCCCTGGTAGCCTTGAGCTGCAAACAACAAACCCCCACGAAGGAATGCAGACAGATGCTGTGAAAACCTGACCAGTCAACTTCAGGGTTCATTTCAAGATCCTGGTTCTGGTCTATAGGGCCTTACATGGACAAGCACCATCTTACATTGGTGATCTTCTTAGTCCCTACCATAGACTGTACATACACCCGGTCGAACTAGCTACAAGCTAACCTGAAGCTAACCCAAAGCTAACGCGGAGGTGGGAGCTAAGCTAACGGAGGTAGCAACCTAGCTACAATCGGAGTTAACTGTGTACAACACCAGAGCTTCTGAGTCAGAGATACGCCGGGCTGACCGCTGGGTAAAACCAGGTGGAACACAGAGGTCTCCCAAAAGCTGCTGAAAGCCGGCAGCCGCGATAAGACAGAGATGCGCCGAGCTGCGGGGAGGGGAGAACGGGGTGGAAAACAGAGGTCTCCCGAGAGCTCCACAAGCCGATAGTGGGAACCCAGCTCCACCAACATGTTATATTTCAACCCATTTTCTAAAGTGCAGCATTATGTTAAATGCACTGGGTTTTACCCTATTACATTTAAATTTCATGGTTAAACAGTACATGTTAAAATCTAAGCTCAGCTCGGCAGTGACCTAAAATACATAAATATAATTTTACTTACCGAAAAAAATGAAGTGGAGACTCCTTGGACGCTCTATTAGTGCAATTAATGCCACAGCAAGTCATTTTGTCCAACAATTGCACAAATAATATCCAAACAAGAATACACAAACACAGAGACTCAAAATCCCGGAACAGTTTCCAGGCCAGACCGAGGCTCTACTGAGGCCTTTCCCCAGAGCTCGCTCTGGGGTCACGTGGGTCTGATGCTTATTAATTATACAGAATTTTAGGCTTTTAATACACTTAAACAGAAGAGTGAGAAAAAAATTCACCCCCCTCAGAGTTGTCATGAGTGTAAACTAGATCATTTAAACCAAAAACATGTTTTGGTACCAGGCTGTAAACATGTTTCTTTCTGCTGTGAAATTGGTATTTTTAACATGGGAGTCAATGAGGATTTGCTCGCTTCTGACACCAGCCCCTAGTGGATGAGGGTGGAGCTGCAATTTATTTCACTTCCGGGTTTGCTTCAATCTTTCACCCGCATTGTGATTGTGAGGGCTTGAGGTGCACCCATGGGATGTTTAGAAGTGTGCATTATTTGACAGAACTGCTGCAGATCATCAGGAATCACAGCTGCTTTGTCACAAATGCTGTTTCTTCATGTCATCCTGAAGAAATCGGGCAAGACGCGGTTGGACGTTTAGCTTCTGCTTTAGCGATCAGCTGTGACCAAATCGTCATTGCAAACACTGTGAAAGTTTAGTATGAATACATTCATCATTACGTCCTGGATAAAGACAAAAATATGTAGCTCCTGCACCTACTAGCTTACAGGATCTGAAAGTCCAGTTTGCGTATCCAACAACGCCGCACACCAGACTCCTACAACTCCTGACCGTCGGGCCACTCTTTGTCCACCATTTCCTGTGGATTCATTTAAAGTCTCCTCTTCACTAGATAATGGGTCCTGGCTTCCTCTGACAACGTGTCACTGTGGATTTTGCTCTCCTGCTGGCATTTCCTTCCCTCCTCTTGTCTTTTCTAGGGAGAAACATCTTCTCTGTCACCAACAGCAGCTTCTTGTTTGCAAACACATCCAGCTGCACTTGCTCCAAAGATTAAAACACCCTGGTGTGCGTGGCGTCCCTACTGGAGGGTTGCAACACAAATCGAGGCAGATTGATTATCTCAAGGAGTTAGAAACTGTATTTCAGAAAACTCGTTACTGCATATCTTTAATATTCAGTAAAAAGTTAAATAATAATAATAATCCAGGATTTTCCTTTTTTTTACGTTTTAATCCATGCGTGTTTTAAATAAAATAATTTAAACCTATTTCAAAATAAAACAGATTTGGTAAACATTTGTGATTTCTTGTACGACGAACAAAAACTGTTTTGTGATTCTTGGAGGATTTTAGATGATCTGGTAACGTAAATGATCACATTTTAAAAAGTGTTGAACTAAATGATGTTTTAAATTTATTTTACAATTCATAAAATTTTTGTCTTTCTTGCTTTATTTTGTATAAATATGTCCTAACTTCATTTTTGCTGTGCTGCACTTTTAGCTTCATAGAATCCGGCTGGATTAAAAACGAAACGCGACGCGAGGCTGTTGGTAGCCTGACGAGACTTCACTTAAACTTAAACTGAATCCTGAACCAAATAATTTCTGGGATAAAGAATCCGAAGTCCTGGGATCAACGCTCTTCCCTCCGTTTGTGGCTTTTTCCCGCTACATCCTCCAGCGACCGTCTCCAGGGATAAAATTAGTCTTTTTTATGTTACATTTTGCAAAGATGCACAAGCCTGAAGGGTAATCTAATTAGCTCCATCAACCAAAGTTCCTGGTCCCATTTGGAGATTTTCCCAACAGGACTAAACCCAGACGTCATAGCAGCAACGGTTCGGTTCAGACCAGCTGAAAGTCCCACGAGATGAACGCTCCTTCCCCCGTCCTCTCGACTCCATTCACCAGAAACCATCAGTCTGTGCTTCCACGGCGATTTAAACGTCTGTCCTCTGATTTCTTTCTTGGTTTTGATCGTTGTCTTGACTCAGGAGCATCTAGCAGCCCCTCCACAGGAAACACCCCAGCGACCACTAGAGCTTTCTTGTCAGACTGGGATTCAAATTCTGAGAACACCACTGATTACACAAATCATATTCACTCCAACACCTCTGTGAAACGTTGAGTGAAATCCTATAAAAGGGAAGTCCGTTACTCGGGGGAGCCGTGTGTTATCGGGGTCAACGTTGGTTGGTTGGAGAATCCAATGTTTTCCAGCCGAGCAGGTGCAGATGAGCTAGTTAGGTGTGGCTGCGTGAAAGCTGAGGGAAAATGCAGATGAGATTTCTGCAGCCGCGTGTGTAAATTCACCACACAGAGCAGATGTGAAGGTAGGAAATCCAAGAGCGTTCAAAGCTACTCAACCTCCTGCTTTTTAAAAGTGAACTGTGAGCAAACAGAAATAAACGAGTAATTCTTCGTGTGCGGTCACTTTCTGGCTTCTCATCTTTCTGTTTGGTGCTAATTTGAGAGATTATTTGTTTTGTTCATACACTTTGAACCTGGAGCAGCATATTCCAACCCCTGCTTTCATGTGATGTGATATTCAGACAAATCACCTTTGATTTTTCTTCTGCTCTGCTGCACACGTGTGCTGCATCTTCAGGGCTTTCTGTCGGACCTGCTGGAGAAGGCCAACAGACACTATGATGAAAAGAAGCTGCAGGAGTACACACAGACAATAGTAAGCCTCAAACACACCACTCTTCATCCTACATGCACGCTGCAGCTGGTTCAAGTTCACGCCCCAGAATTAAAGCAGCACATGCTTTTACAGTCGTTGACGCAATAAAATCTCCAAAAACGTCTTAAATAGAAGGTTTAGACATTTTGAAAAGTGTTTATGTTGTTTGGTAGTTAGTTTAACCTTAATTATGAAAAAAGTCTAATTCCATCTGGAATGATAGGCTAACAGCTAGTCTAAGTTCCACTAAGAAAAATGTAGATCGCTGCAGACTTTCAGCAGGTCATCCGGTAAAAATTCTTATTTTGTTCTTGCCATTTGTGTTTAATTGATCTTTACATCAACACCTGGTTTATATTGTGCCGTTTAAAGAAAAACATGATGGGATTCTTGTTGGAAATTCCACAAGCTGCACATTTAAGTTATTTTCTGTGGATACGTTTGTCAATATCTTACCTGCTGTACATGGCTCCATGTAGGAGTTTCACATTAGTGTCTTGAAATAATTTTAACCTTAAAAAAATGTCATAACTTACACAGAAACTATTTTCATGTCCATTCTGGCCGATTCATGAGGAAATCTTAGCTAGAAGTGCTATAGCAGCTAGCTCCACTGCTAATTTTCTATGTGAATAGCCACAGAAATGTGTGTAAATAACAATGAAATGTGAAATTGATGAAGTAAAAGTGGCTAAAACATTTGTACAAATTGCCCTGAGCTGTTGACCTGCAGTCAGATAAAGATCTGAACTATTCTTTAGCTTGCTAAGCAGCCACGCCGATTCCAGCTGAAAATATCCCAAAAGAAAAAAAACTAAAAATAATCGTATCGTGCAAAATAAGAAGATGTGGAAACGGTGTAAAAAATAGTTTGAACAAACCGATGAGACTAATGAAGCTGGAGTTCTCTTAGGATGGAGCCTAGCTGTTAGCATGTCAATCCGGGCTGAGTTCAAACCTGTTTCTCTGAACTGAGGTCGTACCAGTCAAGTACTTGATCATCTTTCCGGAAAACCACATTTCAAAGCATCTGAATTAAATCAGAGGGAAAACTTTTGGAGCATTAATAGAAACAGACTCGGAGGTGTTTTTTTTTTATACTCCATCTGCCACGCTGGATCTCAGAGGTCTGCAGCCTTGGTGGCAGCAGCGCTGTGCAGCCGAGTGGCCACGACCCATCATTTCCTGCAGGTTGTCTTCTCACAGCCCAGATGCACCAACATCTGCTTCTTGGAAGCCCTAAAGCTGAGTTAGCCTGGTTTTTCGAAGCGTTTTTCACGCTGAAAGATCAACATTATCGTTTGAAAAGATTCCTCCATAAATGTCGCACAGCTCAGGTGTCTGCACCTTAGTTTTTACAGCGGAGGTTTACCGCTGCACAAGCAACAGAAGCCGCAGTAAGAGAAAGTACAGCAGTAAACATTCTGAGTCTGAAAGCTATTTGTAAACATTCAGCCTCATTTCCTGAAAGGCTTGAAAGTTTCTTTGAGAAAGTAAATTTTGTGGATACAAGACTTCTGTCTGTTCTCTCCCTCCATTTATTTTCCATTCATTCTCATCTTCTGTTTTCAGCTGAAAATGTTTGATCTGAATGGAGACGGGAAGCTGGGCCTGTCGGAGATGGCGAGGTAACGGACGCTTTTCTGTTGGCACGAACACGTTTTCCTCTCATCTCATTTAAATAAAAGCCACCTTTCCTTCCACAGGCTTCTCCCCGTTCAGGAGAATTTCCTCCTCAAGTTCCAGGTCCAAACACGCAGAAACAGAAAGTCACACATTTTAATTGTTAAGCTCTTCACTCATATGGTCCATTCATTCTCCTTCGACAGGGCGTCAAGCTGACCTCTGAGCAGTTCAACTCCATCTTTAACTACTACGACAAGGTAAGCCATGTTCAGCGACACCAGCCGGTTCACGTTTTTGTCATCCTCCACAAATGCTGTTGCCTAGCAGACCGAGAGGGCGGAGCCGCCAACAAAAACACACACACAGGCTCACGACGACATTGTGACATCATAATGTACCAGCTAACGTCAAAGTGGACCTCTTAGCCAATAGCGATGGCAGATTTAAATTCAAATGCAGTGCAGATTTTTTACCTGAAGAGGGCGCAACACTGACAGTTTTAGGCAGAATATTTAAATTTGAACTAAGATGCACTAAAGTGCAAAACTTTTGACTACACGTGTCTGCAGCACGATTAGACTCATTTATAGAGTTTATCAGCAACAAAAGTTGATTAGAGGGTTACTTGCTCTTTAATCGTGGGACAGCAGCAGCTCAGGAGGTAGAGCGGGTTGTCCAGTAATCGGAAGGGTGCAGGTTTGATCCCAGCTCCGACCACAGAATGTTGCTGTTGTGTCCTTGGGCAAGACACTTAACCCACTTTGTCTGCTGGTGGTGGTCGGAGGGACCGGTAGTCCCTGTGCTCAGCAGCCTTGCCTCTGTCAGTGCGCCCCAGGGCAGCTGTAGCTTCATGATAGCTCATCCCCACCTGTGTGTGGATGTGTGTGTGTGAATGGGTGAATGACTGATTGTGTTGTAAAGCGCCTTGGGGGGTCGTAGAACTCTAAGAAGGTGTTATACAAATACAAGCCATTTACCATTTACCGATCACCTGATCCCGACCCGAGTCACTGCTGTTCATTCCTTACGTTACGTTTCTTCTGTGCAAAAGCTCGTCTGATCTTTAGTTATTTGCATGACAGGATAGTTTAAGGATTACCTGGATGCTTTGTTAAAATAATCATGTAAAATTTTCGTTTCGGCCACCTGGGGAAACGAGTTGGGCTCAGCACGCCTGTCCCTCTGTAAACAGCTCTGGGTGGCTGGGCGGGGGCTAAACTAAACGGCCTTATTTTCCACACCAGCAGGGAATCTGCTGGGAGGGCGTGATGTCAGGAAACAGAGGCGTACATCTACTAAACCATTCTTGCTGTTCACGGTGAACCTGAGGGATGCCCCAGTCGATGGAGCCGAGTCAGCGTTCAGGTGGATAAATAATTCAGCCTGATGTGACTCAGCAGTGATGCTCCCGTCGGCTCGCTTGTTGTTCTTTTTAGATTTCTCTAAAGGTGGAGCAGAACTTGTGAACTCATATTTCACACGTCCTGCTTCTGCTGTGGTTCAACTCAGTCATTAAATCTTTTAATACAATAATCCATCGACTGCAGGGAAGATTAATGAAGCCTTTTAAAGTGGCAGTTTTACTATTTAAAATATAATAATGTGACTATTTGCATCAATAAAAACGTCTTTTTTAGATTATTGGTGTCTTTTAGTGCCGACATTCAAAAACACTTTATATTAAAAGCTGCAACAGTAAAAATCACAGAAATTCCCTTTTATTACGGTTTTGTTTTATGGCCTGCAGCTTTCAACATAAACAAAATAATGCAGATTAAACTCCTGAACATCAGGAACATTGAGCTGAGAGTTTCTGGTAGCAGCAAGCGTCTCAAAGCAGAGAAGAAACCTAAAAAAACAAGAAAATTTCATCAAAAGAGACATGATTACGGGTTAGGGTTGTAGCAATATTTTCCATAACTCTGATTGCTTCATGCTATAGATCGTTGGAAAGCTGCTTTTATGTACTTTTAGGAACTGTTGGGATTTTTTGAATCTGATCAGCAATTCAAAAGTTATAAAACGGAGCATTTGGGATGACAAACTCAGCACGTCTCTGAATCGGTGTTGTGATTCGTTGCGCTCAAGACAGGGAATCCCGGTGGCTACCGTAATGTATTGTAAATGCACGGAAAGCCCCATTTTTAGTCTTTTCAGCACTATTGGAATTTTAATGATATCTTGAACGGTTCAGGAATCACGGTAATGAGAAGTGCGCATGTCCAATCCCGTCTGCGGCGACAGGTTGGTAATAAGAATATTGTGGCATTAACAGAGGGGTGCCGGCAGTCAGGGCTAGGGCTAGGGCCCCCCCAACACAAGGGGGCCCCAGGCGGCCGCCAACCTATGCCTAATGGTAAAACCGCCACTGGTTATATCTGCTGAGCCGGTAACTTTTTATTCCTAAATGTAGGAACTTGCAAACAAACTTTGCTTTCTTGTTTTTTTTATTTTAGCACAAATACAAATGTAACCTCCACTTGTGATGATTTGAGTCTCCTTCACCTGCTGTAGGACTGACTCAAACCCCCTCAGACTTCAGCAACAAATACAACTAAATATTATTTATTAAGTGAAGGTTCTCACAAAGCAAGTCACCCCCAAATCAACTACTTTTTCTGATAAACTATATAAATGTGTGTCTAATCGTGCTGCAGACACGTGTCGTCAATAGTTTTGCACTTTAGTGAATTTTAGTTAAAATTTTAATTTTCTACCTAAAACTGTCAGTGTTGTGCCGTTGTCAGGTAAAACGTCTGCACTGTGTTTGAATTTAAATCTGCCATCGCCATTGGCTAAGAGGTACCCTAGAACGTTAGCTTGGTACCATATGATGTCACAATGTCATTGTGAGCCTGTGTGTGTGTGTGTGTGTGTGTGTGTGTGTGTGTGTGTGTGTGTGTGTGAGTGAGTGAGTGAGTGAGTGAGTGAGTGAGTGAGTGAGTGAGTGAGTGAGTGAGTGAGTGAGTGAGTGAGTGAGTGTGTGTGTGTGTGTGTGTGTGTGTGTGTGTGTGTGTGTGTGTGTGTGTGTGTGTGTATTTGTTGGCGGCTCCGCCCTCTCGGTCAACTAGGCAACAGCATTTGTTGCATTTTTCCAAACAGGAAGTGGGAGTGGAGTAATACTCTGGTAGGGGGTGACTTGCTCTTTAAACTTGGTTTTTCCTCCACAAATGTAAAAGTTTCCATGTGAGACCATCAGAGACTTCTGATTCTAACAGTTGAAAAACTTTTCCAAAATAATTCCCAGTTTTCACCCAGCAGCTGTTTTTTCCGACTCAAAGTTTGTTCATAGGAGTTGAGGGACTCGGAAAGATGGTTACCATGGTGACCCGAGTGAGCCACTAGCAACATTTGTTTAGATCACGATGCTCATTACTATTCTTTTACCTTTCATGTCACTGCTGTGAGGTTGAGGACGGCAATAATCAGACCAAACAATGTCGCTCTGATTCCGCGTGGTTTATTCTCATTGTGCCCACCTTGGAGTTAACGTGATGTTCAAAACCAGAGCACAAAAAACTATTTTACATAAGAGTTCTTAACTTGGCATGCAGCAAGAGCAAACGCTCTACCAGAAGTTCATCACCCACAGCTTTGTTCAATCAGAGCTCAATCAAGGAAGGTCTCAACGTTACTGACTCCAACATCAGACCAACTCAGGAGACCTCCTTACATCCTCCAAGCCCCTCCCACTAGAGAAGAAACTAAAAATACTCAAATAAATGCAATTTACAATACTACTAACCAAACCAAACTATCTGACAAAGTACGAGAAATAAAAATTAACAATCTAATATTACCCAAAAAACATTTTCTGCACAGAAGTGATAATGACTTTACATCGGAATATAAAAGATCACGGCTACCTGGAAGTGAATCCGCTGCTGCAGCCAAACACGACAAAACTCCCGAACGCCAACACAGACACAGGCAACAACAATCCCAGCCCGTAGCGTGACCATTTAAATGTGCAATATTAATATCTGTACGTTTGGGCATCTGTATGAGTGTGTGTGGATATCAGCGCCATGTCTGGTCTGACCACCATCACACCTTCACAGTCGTAAAAATATGTTTTATTAAATTATTTCAGTTTAGCAGCATCGACACACTTTCTCAGTAACACAGAGCAGTTTTCTGCTCCTCTGCCCTACTGGTTGAGAGTGGGATCACAACCGTTAAAAACAACCTTGTAGCAGCCAGCTGTAGCTAGCACTAACAAGCTAACGCTGACAAAAGCCAACCAATACTAAAACAAACCACTTAGTAAAAAGTTCCACATGTTGGACAAAAAATATTACTTACAAGTCCTGTAGCAACAAAGCCAGGTCATCATCAGTCTGTTATTTTGTAGCCTCCTTTAGCTCCCTCACACTAGCGTAGGCCGTGGGTTTTAGCTCTTTGTTTCACCTCCAAAGATGTTACCCTCTTACTTTTACTTCCAGGCTCTGCCATGATGCTAACAGAGAAAGCAAATTTCTTCTTATTCATGTGCTTTCTATTGACAATCAGCAAACTGAAAACGCTAACTGCTAGCATTTTAGCTAAAAGCTGTAAAGTAGGTAAGAGCTCCCCCTATAGGGCACCTACCCGCTCCGGAATGGTGTCAAATATGAAACTGGTCAAGTTTGAACTCAACCTTCACTGAGATGAAAGTTAAAGTTCTAGCTCAAAGTAAAAAAAAAACTATCTAGTATTACATTAAATACTCTTCGTCTTCGTCTTCGTCTTCCTCCGCTTATCCGGGTCCGGGTCGCGGGGGCAGCATCCCAATTAGGGAGCTCCAGGCCGTCCTCTCCCCGGCCTTGTCCACCAGCTCCTCCGGCAGGACCCCAAGGCGTTCCCGGACCAGATTGGAGATGTAACCTCTCCAACGTGTCCTGGGTCGACCCGGGGGCCTCCTGCCGGCAGGACATGCCCGAAACACCTCCCTGGGGAGGCGTCCAGGAGGCATCCTGACCAGATGCCCAAACCACCTCAACTGGCTCCTTTCGATCGATCATTAAATACTCAATACTCTAAACTAAATAGAATTTAAAACATTAAAACATTTTTATCATAAAACAACTTTTAGGAATCAGATTTCAAAAGACCTGAATGCATCCCAAAAAAAAAAACCAATGAGCTCAGCCCCGCTCTACAAACCTGCACTTTAACGGTGAAATTTGTGGTTCTTCTCTTTATTCTTATACAGAACTTTTGTTATTGTAGATGCTGAACACTTGAAACAGCTGATTCATCACCGTGTCTCTAAGCCGTTAGAGACAGGAGGTGCGGGTTTAGCAAGTGGACGTTTTGTTGAACTCAGTCTTGCTTTCTTTCAGAAAACATGACTGTTTGTTTAATTAATGACTGCCATCCGTTCATGTGCAGCCTTTAATGTGTGCCACGCCACCATTTATGTGTGTAATTAGTTTCATGGTTTTGCTAGAGGCTCAGTCCCTGCAGCTAAAACACACGTAGCCATGGCAACGCGTGCCCGGTCCGCTGAACACTAACGTGGCCCACAGTCCCACCGCCCCAAACTGTGCAAGGAAGTAAAAATATCTGATCCAAAATGGTGCAGTAGCTAGCCAGCCTGGCTGAGACTTCATGTGACTTCCCTGTACAAATAGAAAAATAGAATCGACGTTTTATTCCCCGGATCTGGGATGCTTCTAGCTGGCAGTGTTGACATCAAAGAGTCTCTCAAACATAAAGTACTGGCACGAGTCTCAGCTCTGAAGTCATCCTGAGACCAAGCCCAGATGAACAGATCGTGGTCTTATTCTGTCGGCCAAAGGCAAACTTCCAGTGACTTGGAATCGTCTCCTGGCCTGGAATTCTGAACACCACAGAGAAACATAACTGGATAATTAGCTCGAGCGAGTTTACAGCTCAACCTCTTCACAGAGTTATGAATGAACAGTTTATTGTTTAATCACCAAATTCAAAATAACTCTAGTGAAATCCTGAGAATCAAAACAAAACATTCACTCTGATGCGGTGCATCCTGTGAACATCAAATGGAATTAGGATCTGGGAACAGGGGCGTGTCCAGGGAGTGGCCTGGGGTAGCACATGCCACCCTTAGAATCTGATTGGCCACCCCAGATGCCACACCACTAAGTTCCAGTTTAAACTGACTTTACATTGTCGACAAAAGGCTTGGGTTGTAAACTCCAAAATAGTGTGTGGTTGCACGCACCTTTCACCTTGTTTTCTAGCCCAGGCATGTAGTATTACTATTAATATTTTTTCATGTTCACATACATAGTATTTAGAGTCCCACTCAACTCCAGCTGGTGGCAGTCATGCAACAAGAAGTGACTTGCTAACCACCACAAAAGTAGAAGATGAAGAGGGGAAAAATGGTGATTGTGCTATGTGAAACTTAAAAAATCACTAGAAAGTAAATAAATAAATGATTTGTGTAAATAAATAAATAAATAAGCATAGCCATTGGTGCCACCCATGAATAAACAAGTGGCCCACATGGGCCACCCCATTTTAAAAGTCCTGGACACGGCTCTGTCTGGGAAGTTTGGAAGACCTATGTTTCATTGTTGTCATGTCCTTCTACCTGCTCCTGGGGATCGTAGCTAGCGCTGAATCTACCGCCCTTCCTCAGGAAGACGAGGAGAAGTCAGACTTGTGGTGATGGGACGGATGTCGTCATCGTGTCTTTAATTGGGAGCATGATTTTTCCACCACTGTTTTTTTGGGTCACAGAAGTAAAAGACGGCAAAGATTTATGAGCCTAAACCAGTAAATCTAGAGTTTTCGTCTTTTTCAGCTGTCTCTTCGTCTGTCGCAACAAAAACCAAAAGGATCTAAACTGTTCACCAATCTTTAGGCCTGAATGTAACAGTAAAAAACTTGCATACACAAATATTGTTTTAGACATCAAATAAGAACAGGTTCAGGTTGCATCTTTGGTGTGTTCTTGCTGTGTTGAAATTCTAATTCCATCTTTTAGTTCTTTTTAAAACACAGAAAGGTTTTATTTACCTGCAACATTTCGTTTGCGGCTGCAGCCGCAAACGAAATGTTGCAGGTAAATAAAACCTTTCTGTGTTTTAAAAAGAACTAAAAGATGGAGTTAGGTTCTGGTTATGTTCAGCTTAGAGAACTTTCTTTTGAACCCTGAAACACTAAATGCATCATTTGATAATTGATTCTGACGGCTCTACCTCTTTAACAGGATGAGTTCCTCAAAAGAAATGCTGCATCTCCCCCTCTGGTGGCGATCCAAGTACTGCACGCTGCAAGAGTCAATTATATCGTTTATTAGAACAGAATATACTTAAAGCTTCCTTCTGGAGTATTTCTCTTATCCGATGGCACCATCTAGTGGCTGACAAGCATATCACACAAAAACGCTGTTTCTCTGTTTTTTTAAGATGGCGACTTCACGTTTGTTTTTATAAATGTGCTTCTGTAGCCCACAAACAGCTAAAACACGTTGTTTTACGAGTATTATTCTCATGTCATGTTGTGTTTTCATTTATTTATATTTTAGAGACTTTCTTGTCCGTAAAAAGTTCATCCACTCTGCATCAGCCGAGGTATTCCTTCTATTTGAAGCGTCTAAGTGGCAGTCTAACGCTATTGGTTAGTTCTGGTCGGCGCTCAGTTTCGTATTGACCCTTTGCACCGACGTCACCTAATCACGTGGGTCCACCATGGTGGACGGCAAAAGCATGTAAACAGTGAGCGACACGAGTACTAAACAAAGGGAAAAGTAGAGCCTGAAATTGTTTTTGCGATCAAAACAAAAGCAAAACTCCTCCAGCATTCCTTAAACTAGTTCATGCCCAGTTCAGTTATCAGAAGAAGTAGCGCATCTAGCGGTATGCTAACTAGCTTGCCAACATTAGCTTACGTTCTCTCTGCAGCTGTTCACCGATGTAAACATGTTGCTGACTTTGCCTAAATTCACCCCTCTGGATTTATAACTATGTTATAAACAGCGTTTCACTTTACACCAAAGCTGATTGTTAAAAAGTCCGGATCCCTACCAGCTTCTGTTGCTGGTGGTGTTACCAGGTTCAGCTGCTGCTCTCACACCGGAATGAGAAGATCTCTGGATGCCGACGCTCATATAAATAAATAACGTCATTTTAACACACGTAATCATACATCGGAGCTTTAATATTGTTAATTGTCTCGCTTTACACTACAGTGGACGGAGCGCAGCCTCCGTGGTGAAATACCCGTCCATCAGGATTATCAATAACTAGCATAAACACATCACATTTATCCCTGTCCCTGTCTTCCTCGTGAAATAAATTAACGTTATTCTTACCCGTTAAAAACATGCTCGCTGCAAATCTGAGGGCTGCTAGTCCGCTTGATAGACCGCTGCAGTTCATCTCCGTCCTCAGTCTCCATCAAAGTTATTAAGAAGAAAAAACGAGTTGAGTTTACATCCTTGTCTGTTAGTGCAGCCGACCACGCAGCAAGCTAAAACCATTTTACTGTCAAATCAACTAAATAAAAACGATAAAACTGGCTTGTTTTGACTAGCTTCACTGGAGTTTCTACGAGTGTAAATGGCCTTTTTACCGTCCATCATGGCGAAGGGGGCGGTCTCATGAGTGGCGTGACATCACATGCAAAGGGTCAATTGCATGGAGCTCTGCTGGGCAGGGGGCGTGGCTAGCAAAAATAAAATAAAATAGAAGACGCATAGCTTATATTATATCACATTTCACACTTTTACGGATTTCTGACAAATCATACATAATTTCTGAAAGAGGAAAACTCCGGAAAGCAGCTTTAATCGCATTACAAAGATCGAAAAATGAATTCCCTGACTGTCTATTGAAACTTCCTGTCTTGTTTTCCGTGTACAGTCGATGTTTTTGGGACATTTATTGAGATTAAACAACCAGGTTTGATGTTCAGAGAGCTGCTCTGCTGAACCGTCGTCTTTCCTCTCAGGTTGTTTTGAATGTTTAGATTTAAAAAACTAACATTTGTGGTGTCTGTCTCGCCTTATTCCAGGATGGGAACGGCTACATCGATGAGCATGAGCTGGAGGCTCTGCTACGAGACCTTTACCAGACCAACAAGAAGGTGAGAGCCGGATAAGGTGTCCGACATCACGCTAGACGATTTTCCACACGTCGGCGCAGCAACCCAAGCAAGATCAAACATTAGTTTAGACTTCTGGGCTGTAATCCAATTTCACTGCCATCATTTCTGCTGCTAAGATGCTCAAAAACTATTCTGAGCACAGCTCTCCATTACCCCACGATCTGCCCGTATTACCGAGCATGCTGCGGAGTTTCCTACGTTCGGCTGCTCTAATTCCCAGCGCTGCAACAGCTCGGATCAAAAGCTTTACTGATACCAGGACGTATCCAAGCTCATTAACCGTTTATCATCTCCAACCAGGATGCGTTTAAAAAGGGCCGAACACGAGTCGCTCTCTGGTTCTGCTCGGAAGAGACGGGGAAATCAAATGATGTCCTGAATTAGTTCACAGTTCAGGTCATTCTATGAGGTACAAAACAACTTCAAGTAGAAAAATTTTAATTAAGTTACTGAAAGTCATTTGGGGTAGGAACAGCCTACTGAAGCTGGAAAAAGCTGGAACAATGAAGCGGCCACCCCAGGTTCCACCTTAAGAGGCAGCAGTAGCTCAACAGGTTGAGCGGGTTGTCCAGTAATAGTAGTAGTAAGGTTGCAGGTTCGATCCTGACTCTGGACAGAGAAATTCTGCCATTGTGTCCTTGGGCAAGACACTTAACCCACCTTGCCTGCTCATGGTGGTCGGAGGGACCGGTGGCGCCTGTGCTCGACAGCCTTGCCTCTGTCGGTGCGCCCCAGGGCAGCTGTGGCTACATCGTAGCTCATCCCCACCAGTGTGTGAATGTGTGTGTGAATGGATGAATGATACACTGTAGTGTAAAGCGCTTTGGAGTCCTTACTCTGAGAGGCGCTACACAAGTGCGGGTCATTAATCATTTACAGGTGCGTTAACCTTTTGACCTCTGGGCCAAGTGCTGAATTTTAGTTTCCAGTTTCCAGAAGAAATGCAGAAGCGTGCACCCAGCACTCAGAGACAGACAAAGGACCTTGAGGATAAGATATGGAGGAGAGGAGGAAAAAGCGTCTGCACCCTCCAAGAGCCGTCTTACCTTTGCTGTTATATGGTCTTAATCCGTGTTAGTATTCTCTGGAGTACCAAAACAGCTCAGAAAGACCTTGTAACTCACGTTGGGCACACCTTTTTACAGAAAATGTCAATAAAATAGCCTGAGTTCAAGGGGTTAATATTAATATTACTGCTTTCATATCATTAATTTCAATCACGTGTGAAAAAATGAATTTAAATGTTGGTGTGAAAGTTAAAAACTGGTGTTTGCTTTGCTGTCAGGAGCTGGATGTGAACAACCTGATGGGCTACAAGGACAGCATCATGAGCCTGTCGGACGGGGGGAAGCTCTACCGCGGGGAGCTGGAGATCGTCCTCTGCAGGGAGCCCATTGTGTGATTTTTCATCCTCTCTTTTGCATCTCTCTTCCTCCGCCTGACTCTCCTCCTCAGACCTCACCTGTTTCCAGCTGAGTGGCAACATACTCCAGGTGCATGCGCCGGACCTCCCCCCTTTTCATTTCCCTCCAAATAGAGAAAGGATGAGAAGTGCCCCGTCAGCACAAAGTAGCTGTTCTTCCTTAAACTCTTATTTTGTGAAACAAGACCTCTAACATGCCCCCCCCCCCCCCCCCCCCAGTTTCCTGCCTGTCCTAGATGACCCCGTCTGACCTTCTCCCTCCTCATGTTGTGCCTAAAATGCAAAGATCCAAAACCCTGTCTCTCCTCTGAAGTTTTCCCAGATCCAGTCCTAGCTTCAAAGTCACAATCATCCCGTCGCTCTGTCTTTGCATTAGATATCAAACCTGCAGACAAACGTGTTTTGAGTGATTGCTTTTAAGATGTGATGAAACCAACTCTCCCACTTCGCTTTCTTCTTCATCTTCCATGGTATCTTTTTCATTTTAACGTTGTTTTGGGCTGAAACTGTCGACGAAAGATGTTAATAAAGTATCTTAAGATAAAATTGTCTTACAGATTGTATAATTGGGATGTTGTCGTTTTTGATTTGTTTTATTTTAAGTACCACAGAGCAGTTTCCTGTTCCTCTGCCCTACTGGCTTAAAGTGGAATTACAACTGTCATAAACAGCCCTGCCTGCTGTAGCTAGCGCTAACCACGAGCTAACACTAACATGAGCCACTAAAATAAACCATGAAGTAAAAAGATCCACGCTGTTGGACAAAAAAAATATTACTTACAAGTCCAGTAGCAACAAAGCCAGGCCGCCATCAGTCTGTGATTTTGTGGCTTCCTTTAGATCGCTCACACTAGCATAGAGCTCCGGACCCCACGTGACTCTCAGTTAGTGGACGCCATTTTGGCATGCAAAAAAGGTAAACAAACACGGATGTAACCATGAACGTGAACGGGATCCGCTTGGATTTTACTTCATCTGAGTTTACTTCACACTTTAAAACAGAAGAAATCGTTTTATATAGTCAGAAATTAAATAGACTAAACATCTCCGACCCTTACCGTGCCCCTGGGATACTTTTTAAAAACGCCAGAAGCTGTCGGAGCGGACTTCTTACCGGACCTGGCCGGGGAACCTCTTGGGATTTACCCGGAGGAGCTGGCTCCGGCGGCTGGGGAGAGGGAAGTCACGCTACTGCCCCCGCAACCCGACTCCGGATACGCGGATGAAAATGGATGGATGGACGGACAAATAACAGATTTACACGTAAGTAGTCTCGGTGAGACAGATAATAGCAATCCAACGTGCTTTTTATGTGTGATCTGACAATTGATCAACCATTGCTTAAAAATGAAATACAGCTTAGCCGGTTAATTGCTGTCATCATAAAACACGGAAACGGCAGCACACAGAACTCACGAGGCAACGTTTTACGACCTGACAATTGATCAACCATTGCTTAAAAATTAAATACAGCTTAGCCGGTTAATTGCTGTCATCATAAAACACGGAAACGGCAGCACACAGAACTCACGAGGCAACGTTTTACGTGATGTTTACTTGCTGCTATGAGTAATAAGACAGAAAAAGCCACGCCTAAATAAGTTTAGGAAGCCCACTAAGAATCATAATAAAAGCATTTAATATAAATACCATACACAGTTGAGGAAACGTTGGTTTAAGTACCTGATATGAAGCGGTCGCTGCATAAGTGAAAACCTTTACTCTCGGGATCCCACAGTTTCATTTTCGCCCGGTCACTAGCGCGTTTTATTACAATGATCCAACGTTTGCGGCGCTCCAGATCTTGGGGAATCCTGTAGATGGCTCATTCCTTATGTCGTCCGCGTCTGTTCTGCATCCTGGGGCACAACAGGAATCTACCATATTTCCCGTTTGATTGAGTTTTCTGACAATAACAAATAGTCCAGCTGCCGGCTTCTGCATGCCAATATGGCGCCGTTTCGATTTGAACTGTTGCATGCCGGGAGAAGTGACGTCAACTCCCGGAGCTCTATAGGCCGCACCGATGTTCACTCTGGTTTTAGCTCTTTGTTTCACCTCCAAAGACATTACTCTCTTACTTTTATTCCCAGGCTCCTCCATGATACCAACAGAAAAAGCAAAGTTCTTCTTTTTCTTCTTCTTGTGGTTTTTACTGACAATCAGAAAACTGAAAAAGCTAACTGCTAGCTTAACAGCTAACAGCCATAATACAAGTAAAGAGCTCCCTACATGCTCCACAAAACTGCTTAATGCGGTATCAAGCAAGCAGGGCTGCAGAGTGGTGTTCAGGGTAAAGTTTCTACTCACACAGTCATCTAAATTCACATTTGAAGTTAAAAACTGTTTAGTGTTATTTAAAGTGTGAGTCACCCCAAATCAACTTTTCTTTTTCTGATAAACTATATAAATGCGTGTCTAATCGTGCTGCAGACACGTGTAGTCACTGGTTTAGCACTTTAGTGCACTCGAGTTAAAATTTAAATTTTCTGCCTAAAAGTGTCAGTGTTGTGACGTTGTCAGGTAAAAGCTCACTGCATTAGAATTTAAATCTGCCATCGCTATCAGTGTTGGGAGTAATGCGGTACAAAAGTAATTAATTACTGTAATGCATTGCTTTTTGCTGTAATGTGGTAATGTAAGGCATTACAGGGAAAGAAAATGGTAATATTTACTCGGTACAATTGTCAGTAACGCGGTAATTACAATACATTTTTAAACCCAGAATCAAGATGTGGGTTTCCTAAAAATTCTAATTGCGGGAAGCCTGAAAAAAGATCCAGTATCTACATATATGACGTCATTTATGGACTCAGCTTTGCGGGCATTCTATGAGCAGAGAGGACACAGCAGTAATGGCTCAAATACTCCAGCTGCGTCCTGCGCGCGGCCGCTGTTATATTCACAAAATCGCTCCACCAACACAAAGTAATTCGTTTGTGATCGTTTATATCAGCCATATTCTCTGGTACTTCATGTACTTTTCAGCTGAGTTCATAATCTTTGCCCCGGTGACTTCAACTCATTGCTGCAGGAGCGCAGCGCATATTAAGCTTTTATTTATTTATTTATTTATTTTTGCATTCGGTAGATCCCTTTGGCTGATTAGTTAGAAAGTAGGAAATCTAGGAAACAGTTTTTCTGGAAGACGGAGAAAACATGCAGCATGCAGGAAGGTTAGAGAGAGAAAGGGCCGGAAATTATTCACATAAAATCAAGAAAACAAAACAAAGTGCTTGAAAAGAAAAAAAGTAGGTAGATTTATCCCCAACGCATATTTTTACCAGTGAAAAGAAATAATATATAAGTATTTAATATTTATACATGTGATAGAATCAGATCACCCCAGAAGTCAGTCCCACATCCAGGGCCGTGTCAAAGCATTTGGGGACCAAAGCAAATATAGGCTTGGAGCCCCCACCACCTCACTCCCTGCTCAGATGGCCCTATAAGATGGCAGCGTGCTGAGAGTACAGATTGTTGTTGCTTTTATTTAATAAACAATCATTTTAAAGCACTGTCATTATATCTGACTGTTTTTAACAGCAATCCTAGCTCAGACACCACATCACCTTCCACATATATGTCATGAGCTCACTGAGCGTCACATGACCAGATTCATACTGAAGTTGTTTTGGTGAAAGTAACTTAAAGTAATGCTAAAGTTGTGTTGACGCCTTACATTTTAAAATCAGTAATATTGTAATGTAATGAATTACTTTCAAATGAGGGTAACAAGTAATATGCATTACAGTTTTGAAGTAACTTGCCCAACACTGCTCGCTATTGGCTAAGAGGTACCCTAGAACGTTACCTGGTACCATATGTCACAATGTTGTGTGTGTGTGTGTGTGTGTGTGTGTGTGTGTGTGTGTGTGTGTGTGTGTGTGTGTGTGTGTGTGTGTGTGTGTGTGTGTGTGTGTGTGTGTGTGTGTGTGTGTGTGTGTGTGTGTGTGTGTGTGTGTGTGTTTTAGCGGCTCCGCCCTCTCAGTCTGCTAGGCAACAGCATTTGTTGCATTTTTCAAACAGGAAGTGGGAGTGGAGTAAGACTCTGGTAGGGGGTGACTTGCTCTTTAAAATGCCTTGTCTGAATTTTCTGCACCAGAACTGCTTGTGATCACTTCTTACCAAATTCCTTCACCTGATCGGACTTAAAGGGATTTTAGGGCCAATTTGAAATTTGTTTCTGTGTAAAAAGTGTAGATGAATTCCTGAAAAGCTCTTCTGAATAAATGGAATTGATATTCTTCAGAATTGCTGAACATAGCCAGAACTAAGTCAAAACTTCAGAGTTCATGCAAACATGTAGTAAACCTTTGTACTCTTAAATGGTTATTTAGTATTTAAAGATTTGTTTAAATTACACAAACAAAATGTGGTACTTCGTTGCATCGGGGGGTCAAGTCGTGTGCGAATTTATTATCTCTTCCAAATTTATTTTATTTTTTTAAATTAAAATGTTTGATGTTTAAAAGCTTAAAAAAACAAATGTTGACATGAAGTGTTTGGAAATTTGGGAGATCTTCTGACACTGTTGGGTTGGCTCAAACTGTTTTAATGGTTCAAAAAATGTTTGAAAGAACCCTAAAGCAGACGGCCCGTCATCTAGAAACAAACTAACTTCGTAGCAGTTCATGCGAGCAAGAGAAACAAAAGTGGCCCTTGTTAACTGTTGATCCTCCACTAGGGGACAGCAGGAATAAAAAGGACAGTTTTCTGATGAAGGTACTAATCCTGATGCTCCGTCTCAGGTCAGAAGCATAACATTTTGGGACTAGCTGCATGGACTAGCTTTTAGCTCATCAATCTTGATTATCACAAACCATTTCGCTAAAGAGAGGCTCTTTAACAAAGTCACTCACGACTAGTTTATAGTTATTTTCAAGTTTCACACACATACAAAAATATTACAAACCACGATTATGTTGAGAGAGATGAAACAGCTTTTCTTGGATGGGATCAAATCTGAATTTTAGAAATAAATCTAAATCTGGTCTTAATGATGAACATTAAGCTGTTCCGCAAGTGGTAACAATAAACAATAAGGGTCAAATCATTTTTTAAAGTTCAAATAAGATGAAGTTTTTAAGGTGGATTTGTACCTGGTGCCCTATAATGGTGGATCAAGAGAAGTTAATTTATCTGACGAACCTTAAAAGGAAGAAAGAATGAAAACAATCTTTTTACAGCGCCTCAAGATAAAAAAATTACGAAGCGCTTTAAGTCATGGTGTGTCTGCTGTGTCAAGTTGAAACACCAATTTGTAATTCATTACATCAGCCTGGAAATGAAGGACTGAACCTCAACACTGGTCCAAACTGACAACCCTGAAGGTTTCGCTTGAACTGGTGGAGGACGGGAGGCCTCCCACTTCTCCACTCAAGTCTGGGGTGAGAGTTCTTTCCTGCAGCCCAGCAGAGATGTTCCTCCTGAGATCGTGGGACAGGACATGATATTTCTAGTGAAACTTCTGTAATTGAGTTGACAGGCTTTTAAGGCAACCTGAATAATAGAGCAAGCACACGAGCTCCCATTTCACAGAGGAGCTGCAGCAGATCAATTAGTCACAT